TGATATTGGACATATGTCCAATAATAGAAATTTACATTTTTTACCAACCAGTAATTGGACACTGGCCAGTTTACTGTTTGTTTTCAGAAATAAAATTAAAACGCTTTTAAGTGACAATGTTTAAACCATGAGGAACACATTTATACCACAAACTGATCTGTAAACTTTTTAGAAATATTTTTTATTGTAATTTAAACACAGCGCTGCTCTTAACAAAAAAAAAAATCTTACCACCAAAGTAACGTGCGAACTTTTTTGTCCTATATTGGACCCAAAATAAAGTAGTTAGTATATTATTACCGACTGAGATATTTATAATTGTATACAGCGTCATCTAATGATTTGACTTTAAGGTAACTATTTATAGAACTCTTGTTTTTACAGTATTAATGTTAATTGTCCAATAACTATAAAGTGCCCGATAACTGTCTACTTTACCCTAATACGTTTTTATATATTTCATACGAAAATACATTTTTGATATTATTTTTAGGTCCAGTTTTTAAATAGACACCCTGTATAATGGGTACAAAGGAATTCCAAACCATGCGTAAATAATTCAGGTTAAGCCTCTATAATTATAATATGGCATAAATTAACAACCATATATTAAGTTCTTGTAACAAATGTCAAGTGTATGATGTGATGTCACGGTAGATAAATTCATAATTTAGATGCGAAGTGTATTCAACATGGCCTTAGACAGGAAATCCTATGTTTAACAATATTTGACGCTTTTGGTAGAATTTCAAAGAGGTTTTAGCATTTCCAAATATATTTTATTTAGATCAGACAATAAAACTGTAATTAATAAATATAAAGTAGAACTTTACTGCCGATTTAATACGAGTATTGTATGCAACCCATTATACATTTTGAGGTGTCTCTAATAACATTTGATTTAATCATCAATATTAATTATTAGTAATATTAAATGTGATTTCGGATAAAATTTAATATGCACCTCGGCATTAAAGTCATTTTTATCACTCACGTGGTTATTTGCCTCGGAAAATATTTTCCACATTCCTGATAAAAAATACGACTTTACTGCCTTGATACATATAAAAATATAAGTTTATCGTTTATTATTGCTAAACAGTGTTGTAAATGTTGACAAAAAAGAAAACTTTAGCAAATATCAAGTTTGGGGAGTTATTAGGCAAATATTTCAAAGTGCCCATTAAATTTTCTCTACCTGACTGTGGATGATTGATGATATCATTTTCTTCGTACCAAGTTAAATTGGAGAGAATATCTTAGATGAATTATGTCTTTTAAAAATACTTAGTTAAGTGAAGCCATTTGGGAATAAATTTGGTTTATACGATTTGCTTTTCAAATTTAAATGGAGTTTTTTGACACTGATGCCCTTATGTCATCAGTGTATAGTATATACATCATAATTTATGCATTTTAACCAAACCTCGTCAGTGCCGGGGAACCATGGGGTGTGGAAGCATTTTGCAAAAAAAATGATGAAGAAATAAACAAATTTTTAACATGACCGTCTCATACTTTTTTTATGTGATTTCACACATTTTTATTTGCTCAAAATTAAAAGTATCCCCATGTTGTGAATTTTAGGTTAGAGTTTCCACCGGGTAACAACCGACAGCAAAAAAACATGGCGAGCATGTAACTATTTATGTTGCTATTTTATCACTACAGACGGTCATGTTAATAAAAAAAAATGCGATAATAAAATATTTTAATTTACACTAGCGGAAAATAGACGACGGTCATGTGAACAACGTAATATTTTTAGCCTAAACATTAACAATAATGGCTATTTAAATCAATTTTATAACACAAAAAAAACAACATTTGTTCAATATAATTTTCTTTGGCTACTTAAAAGTTGAATTAAATTTTTAGAAGATCGCAAATATTGAATTTTGCTATAGGGACATACGACGGTCATGCGAAACAGGAGTTTTAAAACCATAATTAAAAAATAAATTCATAGGATATTGAACTTTTGGTATTATAAATCGATAAAAAATATCTGTTGATCTATCAATTTAATCATCAACTTAAAACTATCGAAAGCTGGTGTAAATTTGCTGTTTGAAATTGGAAATTTAAGGGAGGTTAAGTTAAGTAAACTTTAATAATTAGGCAAAGTTTTTTAATGCATTTTAAACTTTCTGTCTAAATCTACCTTGTAGGGTAGAGTAAAAAACAAATAGAAGGCACGTTGGGATAAAAACCTTTTTCAAAGAAACTTAACTTTAAATCTTAAACACTTCCTTGTATTATCTAATTTCACGTTCAAGCACACCCAACCGATTTCAAATTTAACTTCCTGAAAAATAATTCTTTGGCTCAGATAAGAAAAAACCGCAATTCATTTTGCCTAACGACTTTACTAAAAAACTTCTCCTCGACATATTCGATTTTTTTTATCAAATAACAGTTAAAGAAGCGTTTAAGTAAGCGAGCGTCTCCATCAATCAGAGATTGTCTCTTTCCCAAAAGTGCGGGACAAAGCTAAGCGAACTTTTCTTTTGAGTAATGTTCGAATCTAACTTTGGCAATTAAAGATGAAAGGTTTTTTTGCTAAGAGGTGAATACATTTGCTTTGGAAAGTACTTGTTTATACGCTAAATAAGTATCGGGTTTTTGCAATTTTTAAATAAATAGGTAGTTTTTTCACAATAGAGGAAGGCAGAAGTCTTACTCGACAAATTTCATTCAATTGCACAGCTAAATCGCGCACGTTATTTGTGTTTTACGTTGCAAGGAAAAAACTAAAAAACTGGTTTAGTACTCGATTTCGATTGATTATTCTTTATATCATTGTTTAAGAAACTCAACGCTTAAATGCTTAGAATATAGTTACGTTAGTGTTGGTATTTTATCAAAGGGATCATGGTGAAAAATTCAAGAACTAAATCGTTGCATTTTCATGTTTTGCCAAAGGATCCAATTCGGTAAGTACATTTGTTGGTGCAGAATTAACTAATGATAACTTTACCTAATATAATTTATATTTAAGTTTGGACATGTTTAAGAAATTAGTAAAAAATAATGTTTGCACAAACATAACCTTAAAATCAACCATTTTTATGTTTGAGTTCTCTAAAAAACGCCGACAACTGCATTTTAAACAACAAAATATACCTAGGAATGTATGGCAACATAATATTATGTTTTATACATAATATAATGGTATTTTACTGTTGAGTGGAGACTTTCTTAATCAACGCTTTTAATAATGCTAAATGCTGTTTAAATTTAGACGACTTATATGTTTGACAATTTTTACTGAATTGAAATGTTTACACTTTTCACGTTAATCACTACTAAAATGTGTATTTATTGTATCTAATAGGTACAATTTATATTTACAGAGACTGTATGCAATTTATTTCTTCATTCAGATTAACACTGCTTATTGGAAAACCGGTAAAAACTCAACCGAGGATTTCCTCTCGAAATACACCCAGCAACACAACAAATCGAGCCACGGTTTTTTTTTCTCGTTTGTAACACAAGCGTTTGACAGCTGATTATTAAAAGTTATGCAAATTCACTATTGACATCTGTTTCCGCTTCTGTAATCAGGCCCGTTCCTGGCGAGCGTGCAGTGCGTGCACGCACGCAGGCGCAACATTTCGGGGGCGCAAAATCAAAGAGTCAATCAGTACTTTGTAACGATAAACTTTCTTGCATATGATACTTAAACATACATTGGATAAAGGTTTCTGCCTTTTTTGCGTCTTTGATATTGGCTGCTTATTTTGTTTTGATATGAAAATAGAATTAGTCAAAAATGACTAATTTAATTAGTCTAATTGCAATAGCGAAAAAGCAGCGACTAATAATTATTGTCAATAGTAATTTGTATCCCGGATATTTAGCAGTAAACGCATATGTAAAATTGTCCGCTGAATCCGAAAATGTCGTCAAAAGTTATAAAAGTAGAACGTTTTTTTGAGATTTAGTAAATTTTCCATATAATATGGTATTGACTATATCTTAAAAACTGCTTTACTTTTATAATTTTTGACGTTACTTTCGGATTCAGGGGACAATTTTACATAATAATAAGCTGTTAAATGCCCGGGATACAAATTGCTGTGGACTAAAGTTATTAGTGACTGCTTTTTTACTTTGAAAACTAGTCATTTTTAGTACGTCACTAAAAACCAGTTGAAGTTATTATATTGTTTAGATTGTTTTTTTTTGTTTTCTTTAGAGTATTTTTATCACTGACTATTTCCCTCGTCTTAGTTTCCACCAATCACAAACGCGCAATTTTGAACTACAAATGGTTTCTAGGTGGAAAAACTGTATGACAGCACCTGTCAGCAGTTTTTTCGAGTTTACCCGCGACAAAACTTAACAGCTGTTGTCAACAAAAATTGCAATTTATATTTTAATTGTTAACTATTACTCATGATATAGTCTTGTCAAATACCATTCGGGCATCTAACTTTTCCTATGAAAAAAATCGTTAAAACACAATGCAAGTACAGTAACATTTTTAAACAAAATACATTCGTGCAGGTGCAAAAATCCTCGTCTTCGACTCGGATTTTTGTTGCCACCAGCACTCATGCTTCTTGTTAAAATATTACTTAACAAAGTGTTTTTTCGATTTTTTTCGATAAAATATATGCACTTTTGATATTACTTGTTTGTTTGGTAATTTAATAAATATTTTTTATACTTAATTTAAGCGGTTTTTTATGTTTTCAATTACATATTGCCAGTTTGTCGCAAAATATATATTTTTTAAATTTTACGGCTTAAAATTCAAATATTTAATGTATTATATTTAAATATAAAAGGGGCGCACCAACGAATGCTGCACGCAGGCGCCAGACACCCCAGGAACGGGCCTGTCTGTAATGACACTTCCTTTGCATCACCATTAATAGTGATTGGTCCAATAGAATTACATCCTTGGAGGGTGTTTGCGCAAGTAACGTTACGTTGTTGGTTTTTCTGCGGTGTGCGGTAAAAAGTCCAGACTGGAAGAAGTTAATTACCTGAACTATGTCTCCGTGACTCTGGCCATTGGCCGTAAAGGTGAGATGACAGAGAAAGGGCAGTCGGACCTCGGCGGACTTAACGACGCGAAGATCGTACGTTTTCCCCACGTCGCCGTAATACGTCCGGTTACACACTGAAAAGAAAAAAAATTTGATTAAGGTAATTACAAGGTTTTTTAGAGTACTTGAAGTAAAATTAACTAGGTATACGAGGCTGCAAACACAGCAAATTTTATCGATTTGTCCAAAAAATATGTTCATGCTAACCCAAGTCAATTTTCAAAGGTTAAAATTCGACTTATTGTCATGTCACTAATAATTAGTCAAATTCTACTGAATGTCAAATTAGTAGACTAAAATTCAAAAATTTCTAACCCAGACGGGGTTTGAACTCGGGTCTGTCGCTTGTCAAGCGGATGTCATAACCAATGAGCCATCAGTCACTTTTATAAAAACAGTTTGAACAATGAACATTAATATTGTAAAAACAAGAGTTCTATAATTAGTTACCTTAAAGTCAAATCATTAGATGACGCTCTATACAATTACAACTATCTCAGTCGGTAATAATATAAAACTACTTTATTTTGGGTCCATTGTCACTTTAATGCAGTTTTTGAGATATAGTCAATTCCATATTATATGTAAAATTGATTATATTTCAAAAACTGTTCTACTTTTATAACTTATAATATTTCATATGAATTGACTGCAAAATTGCTGTTGACGAGAATTATTAGTGGCTGCTTTTTCGCTATGTCATTTTTGACTAATTAATTTTTAAAGAGTAAGTAATATAGTGATTTCTTCGTCACAGGACATCTTGCAGAATAACAGTGATTTAAATACAATGATATGTCTTATGATAATACGGAAAATACTTTTGACATACCTACCACCCGAAAAAATATTAGATATATATATAAATCATCCTGTTACGGCCTAAACATTATAAATGCTTCACAAACTAGAGATACCACACTTAATGATATTTGCAACAAACTATTTCTGAAGTCAGACCAAGGAATTAGTAGTTATCTTCAGAATCCAGAAAAGGGATGAGGAATCCGAGAAAGAAATATATGAATTATATGATATTTACAAAAACGAAATAAAAAAATTACCTAAAACAGCAATTTATATTTAAAAAATTTATGTTATTTGATGTAAAGTTGTTATGTTTATATATAAAATATATATATGTGTCCAATTACTATATAAAATGTCCAATTACTATACTTTTTTGCAAACTTTGTGAATTTAGGTTAAAAAAATGTTAATTGTTGAATACAACTAATTGGTTAAAAAACAAGGTTAAAAAAACGTTATTTTACTTAGATCATGGCTTCCATCAATATCGGGAATTTTCGTTTTTTGAAACAAATATTTATTTATTTGTCTACATTAATGTTGTCGCCTTTAAAATAGTCCCCATTGGATATTATGCACATGTGCCAGCTCTTCTTCCAATACTCGAAACACTTCTAAAACTCGATCTTTGGGATAGCCTTTAGTTCTTTCAGCGATGCGCTTTTAATGTCATCTATGCTTGCAAAACGACGGCCCTTTAAGGTTCCTCTTTATTTTTGGGAATAGGAAAAAGTCAGACAGAGGCATGTCTGGCGAATATGGAGGCTGGGGCATCATTACGGTATTGTTTTTGTTCAAAATTTAACAATTTTGAAACAAATTTTGCTGCCACGCGTTTCATACACAAAACATTTGAAAAAATTTCATGGGATGAGCCAATCGATATACCAACATCATCAGCGACTTATCTGATGGTTTATAACCATTTCTTACACTTTTTCCATGTTTTTATCGGTTGTTAATGTGCTTGTGCGTTCGGGGCGTTCGTCATCTTCAACGTCTTCACGGCCATCTTGGAAACTCTTATACCACTTGTAAACTCTTGTTTTACTTATAGCAGACTCACTATAGGCCTTTTTTAACATTTCACAGAATTTATTTCATTTTTAAGCAATTTTGGATACAAATTCTTTGATCCATTTCTTTTAACGAACGAAAAATCGCCGAGCTCATAAAACACGTCTAACCTTAGCGGCTGCCACAGACAAAGTAAACAATGGGAACAGCTAAAGTTTTTATCATACTTCGGGGGAATGTATACCAACATATTTTCTGAACACACCTCGTATACTATTTCCGTAAATTTATAAAAACTTTGATTTGGGTTTTACAGAGACTAAATTGCAATTGAAAGTTCAGTCGGGTTATTTTTAAATAAAGCGCCGATTTTCGTTCGAACAAATCCCCCGAAATCTATGAATAGGTTTCTGATAGAAAGCAGTTTCTAAAATTCCCGGTTGAGGCTTTTTTGGCATTGACCGCACAAATATACTTATATGATGATCTCCTTTTATACGTAAAAGGATCAAAGGATCGCAAACTCGAACGCTGCAACTTCCAAATAACTATAACGAGAAATTTAATTTTAACTTTTCGTGCAGGGAAGGGGAGATACCTTTTCCATCTTCAAGAAGTGGTGGGATTAATTTTCCTGGTCGAATTGGAGTCACGACTTGATGGGATTTTATTAACAGCAGTTCTATCTTTTCCATCGAGATCCTTAATTGGATTACATAACAAAAATGGATTTAACTTTTTGATATCCGGAAAGTTATCGGCATTATTACTGCCTATTTAACTACTCAAAAATTCAATCACATAAAGAAAGGAAATGGTAAAGTTACATCAAGAGACAATAAACCTGAATATTCAAGAGTAAAATTTGAACCAGAACGCCTTTCGGCTTTCAGCAGACACACGTAGGAAAAATCAATATTCACATGCAGACAATATACAGAATCGTGGTTGATTATTTAGGATTCGGTGCACGTTCCTTGATATTTGTTCCTTGTATCAGAGCAGTGAAACAGTCTTGTTTATCCAAATTTACCGCCCCTTTCGCGAAATAAAAATAAAACCAAACGGGAGATCACAGGTTCCCGATCCAATTACTTTCAGCCGCGTTCATTAATGCCATTAGTTTTGTGCATATGTGAGAAATGTTTTATATAAAAATCAGATTGGTTAACATGCAGTGGCGGCCCTCATCATAAAGAATTAAAAAATTAAGTACCTTTAATTGAAATATTTTACTTTCTATAATATACTATACATTTTTAATATATGGATTACATGAATTGTGAAATAGTCAATAAAATTGATTGACTTTATACGTGGAATACCCAGCAACATTTAAATTATTTGAATTTGAAACGACCGCAATTCAAACTAAAATTTATAGCTAGATGATTGGCTCAGAAGCATGCCTGAACTAATTTAGACTCACGATTGGCGTTAGCCTTGTTGTCTCGTTCTATTACAATGCGATATCACAGTTGTCTCCTTCTCTCGTATTAGCATACGCGAGGCAGGCACGCCTACATCCCAGGAAATAAGCAGGTGTTGTGGCAACACTGTTGCGGAATTTTAGATAAATTATACTTCAAACGTTTTTCAAAATCAATAATAAATGGTATTATTTTTCTTATAATAAATCGATTTAATCGAAATTATATTTCTATTCTAAAATAAACATATTTCAACACTATCGCCATCTTGTAGCCATCACATTAACCAATAAAATAAATACAGATTCCTTCTTTAGGTTTGTTTTGGTTATAAAATTCTGAACTGTTTAAACAACAAATCTGTGGTTATTTACGCAATATTTTGTTTATTCTTTTTCTATGAGTTTGTCTATTTTATGATTCTTTTGTAAGTGGTTTATTCTGTGGGTTTAGTTAATTGAACTTGGTGATTTATGTGAATTTAGTCATTATGGATATTACGGTGAGAAATTGTACCGATATTGTTGACCTTCACGTGATTCTTGCTGAACAATGAAATATTAATTAGACAAAAATGGGGTTTATTTAAAATAAACGTTATTTTTACAATAAAATATATCGCCACTGGCATAAAGCTCTTATTAACACTCCACAATCCACAATTCAAGTAAATACTTTTTGATGCGCGATGTTTTACGCGTAAAACATAATCCTCTTATTCTATATTTCGTTACATATTTATGAAATGCAAAAAATTAACGTCTGCGAACTAGCGGTAACCCAGTTTAGAATTTCAGCGGATAATTGAAAACGACTCAGTTTGCTGAATTCAAATCCTAGAAGCTGAAGCTGAATACCCTCGTAGATTCAATTACAAACAAAGCTTGTGATTAATGTGCAGACACATCTGATACCTCAATCAATGACATGAATATTTTTCATTCACAAAAATAAAATACAATGCATGATTTACTATTTTATTAAACAATAAATATTATTTGTATACAATTGTTTTGGAACTCGTGATAAATTTACAATAAATATTATTAAAAATAGAGGCAAATTTATTTCAATAAATACATGATGAATTTTTTATACCATCGATGAAAGACTAATTTAACCTTATGTTCCCTTTATTACCAACACATTTTCTTGTGCGTGCGGTTCAGGTTTGGACGTTTATTAGGGACCCTGGTGGAAAACTTCTGGATAAATAGCCTCACTATCAGACAGCTCGAATAAATCTCTTCTAACAATTCAGGTCGATGGAAAACTTTCATGTTATTACCTTTACGGTGCTAAATTTTAAAAATCTGGAAACAAATATAGATTGAGTAAATACCAGAATCAGGTCAAATAATTCTATGAATAAGATACGTAAATTGTACTAGTATACTGGAGAAATTTTCAGTGGAAATGTTTATCTAAAGGACGCTGTGTTTAATTTATTGCTCTATCTCAAATACTAGCTGAAAATTTATGAGTCCTCTAATTTTGTTTTCCTTGGCTACATTGGAACATCAAAAAGCAAAAGAAACACATCCAAAACTAACACAAGTATATACAGGGTGAGTCATTTAAAATATACAATTCTCCAATAATTTTATTTTTTAAATTTTGCTCTATAGATAATTCTCGTGTGTTTGCATGAGGATTAGCGGCCGTTGCTAATACATTAATTTCATTATTTCCACCTGTGACTGTTGCTCGACGAACTCTTTTTTTCGGTTGAACATTCCCGTTTGCAGTAAACTGCATGACTGTACGGTGAAATGAAGTACGTGATCGAATTTTATCCGGAAAACGCTGAGCGTAGA